CACTGAGCCTTAAATGAGGGCAATGAAACGCCATGTCGTAATTACCTCGGCTGAAAGTGGCACTGCTCCCTCCAATTTGGTGGGTTCACAATGGAGAAAATTAAGCTTAAAAGTAATTGGATAACTAGTCATTTTGGCAAAGCTTTTATGCCTTCATTTAAGATAACAAAGTGACTGAATGCCATCACAGTGGTTTATCTGACTTGCCTGGTTGTTCTGAAACAAATCTCTAGGCACGAATAACTCAGTACTTAATGATCGAATTACTTGCATTGGTCGAACCACCTGCAACAGCAATTTCACCTCAATTCACCTCAGTTCATGTCTTCACAACAACCTGCGGTCAAGATATCACTGTATGCGTTCTCTATGTACCGTCTGGCGAAAATCTGTACAAGTTCTGGTGATAAATTTGCTGCTTTGAAGGCTTGTCATGGATAATAACAATCTGGACCGATGTCGGTACTGTAGAGGGGTGTACTCGCAATCGAGGGCTCGTGAGTTCAGATCTCGACCTGATTACCTGCCCCAACATGCTATAGCGACCATCTAACTGTAGATATTTCCTTCAGTAAAGCAGAAACGCCCTGCTAATAGTACTGGAACGGAGCATACTCCTTGAAACAAAAGTGTCGTAAACGTCCAGCGTGGACGTCTAAGGAAGACTGATCCCGCAGGAGTTACGAACTCCATGAGTCATTCATCATTCAGTCATTCTGCGTACACAACCAAGTCTATTTTGTCACGGTAGAAATAAGTGTAAGACTCGGAATTTACTTGCGGTCCAGTGCTCGGCAAGCGTCACTGCTGTCGTTTCAACGCGGCTTAGGGAGGTTTCGTTTCTTTCGACTGCCACCGCTTAATGTTAGAGATATTTCTTGACGTGAAGGAAGGAGTCACCAATTTTTGTAGATATGAACTTTGACCCGTGAAAGCAGTGTTCTACTTTTCAATGCATGGAGGTTCTGCCTCTGCAGTGGCATAAAGTACCCCTTCCTCGTGCTAATTAGCTCCCCTTATCACTACTGCCATGTACTAGTAATTAATAAACCTGCATAAAAAGCATAAATAAGTACCGAACAGTACCAGATAGAGTTGCTTAGGTAATAGTGTAAAACTTTACTACTGTTAGTCTCGGTTCACTTCTGAAACTCATTGCTGGATGACGGCAGTAAAAACATACATTCAAGAGATAGTTAACCCTGAAAATAGCAAAATTTAATTCACCACTGAGATAAGTAACATTATGGTTTAACTACCGCTTAAAACTATTGTTTTAATTAGTGTGGTTTTCTGTAGCAGGTGGCTTGCGGATGACAGCACATAATGACACAGAGGAAATTTTTGTAAATCAGTTCTTCAACTTAAATTTACTCTGTACTGATAGGATCGATACGATATTCATGAGCACCTATGGAAAAACGCTTCAAAACCCGGACCAGCACTTTTCACTGCACTCAAGACTCCAGTTCCTGAAAATGTCACCCGAAAAGATCCTGGGTATAATCGACATACTAAGCCTTTCTTGTAAGATCCTATCGTTGCAGATTCAACCCAGCGACTGTCGTCTGTCGTCTGAAAGCAGGATGACTCAAACCTGTCCTCCGATGATTCGCACGAACTACAGAACGAAACGGCACGACTGTGAACTGAATAAACTGAATGAGCTGCAGTTTAGGGTTAAGTATATATCTTTCCAAAAAGTTTAATTTGTAATAATAAAGGCACTGCCAGTCCGGCAATTGTTTCTACTGTTACTACTAGCATTGCAAATTAAATAGGTTTCGTAGATCGAGCGTACTTACTTTGGTATTTTGACAGCACTAGCTAGCCTCTAGCCCCACCGCCCCACCGCCCCACCCCCCTTCACACTCACAAAACCTACAACTTTCATTGCAAACATTGATTCTTCCAAATCCGCAGTGAAGATTACATTCCATGCTACATGTACAAATATTGCTTTTTTCGTTACACAGTACTAAGTACTAAGTTACTTGCTCTGCAAAAACAATGTACCATAAAATACATCCAAAGTCACGTTGATTTATTGTCGAAGAACGAGTGAAAAATGAGTAAAAGGGGGCATAGGGAGTAAGGATCAGTGCCTTGAAGCTGATGGTTTGTTAATAATGACTGATTTTCATATAAATTATATCTAAGTATAATCCACTGTATCGTTCAAGCGCCTGCTCGTTTGAGTCACCAAGTCTTCACAGTTTTGTAACGTCAGAAATGCTAACTTTACCATTAAAAAGCATCAGCAGTCCGAGTGACCGTTGTCCCCGGGAGAGCACGACATAATCCATTTATTCCGCGTTGCTCACTAAACAAAAGGACGCCTGCACGTCAAGAAGTACATCAGAAAGTAATAGAGGGGTTCGAGGAATTGCTCTAAGCCCCTCATAGCGACGATGGTCTCATTTCTGAAGAGGGGGAAGGGAAATCTTCATGGAGGAAAGTGACACCATGTCATTGAAGCTATTCAGTCGAGGCTATAGAGAGTCTGAGTGCCGTCAATTCCAAAACTTCAACCGTCAGCCTTCGTACTAAAGTCAAACCTCTTTGTCTTAACCGCACCTGGAAGAAAATTAATTTCATATCTAAAAGTCAGCTGTTCCTCAGTTTAATTTTCTCATCGTAGTCGTTTCCAAGACATAAGGAAAATATGACAAAGCTTAAACTGTGAACATAAAATGCAACTCCAATTGTGTGATGCACTCTTTGGAAATAATTAGTTTCTTACTGTACTGACTTCTGTAGTGAATACTGCTTGGTTATCCGATCATTTCGTGGCTCAGAGCAATGCTCAGGAATGTGCCCTGCATTCTACATTTCTAGACGATCGATGATTTACTTTGAAACTCTTCACTGCCAACCGCTAAGTCTGGATGCTGGTCTGATTAAGAGCACACCGTGAGAACAGAGCGCAAGAAACAGTTTAAGGTTAACCTCCCTATATTCGCGAGCCGAGCCACGTCCTTCCAAACCTACCATCTAGCACTCGCAGAACCTTGCTTTTCGAATTAAGTCAAACCTCTCAAATTTCGATCTCTAACTCATTTGGCAAATCCGTATCAAAATCAGTTTTAAAATTATTTAATAAATATGCGAATGATAAAAACATAATTGAAGCGGCTCCTCGCGCGAAGTTCTGTTGTGATATCGATTTTCCGCCTGAACTCATCAACTGCCCGGTTCCTGTTATCGTCCGGCTAAACCAGATTAGCGACATTTGTTTGTAAACAGGCGTACATATTATTTTCTATTTTGACCGGGCTGCCATGGCTCGAGCAATCAATCACCAACCGAAGAAGTTCCTCACTGCTCTCTCGTGTCTCTCCGACACCAACGGCGTTACCACGGAGAAGCTCCGCTGTGCATCATGTCACTGGCTGCACGTGCGACTAGCACGTGCCTCTGACGTCCGAGATCCTCGAACACTGAGGATCATCAGAACAGAAGCCCGGAAAAAAATGAATGGTCATATCGCTACCATCCAGTTTTCGAAGATACTGAGAAAATACACCAATGGAAGTTTGGCACCTCCTTCAAATGCACGCATTTTTCCTGTTTCCGATGTGAAAAATTGCGTTCATTGTTATTAACATTAAATATGAAGAAATATGTGCACGTTTTTACAGTCATCATTGATAAATACTGACCGTTAAAGTGCTACAACCAATAATGTCTCTAATGTCATAAACAGACATCAATTTGAGACTGATTCTTTGATAGTAATAAATTTCATTTTCCGTTTAAAGGAATGGTGACACAGTCGAAATTTTGGAATCCTGAATATTTACTTGCGGCGGAAGTGTGTTATTTTTCTTCATTTTCTGAAGTCAGTCATTCAACTGCTTCAAAATCTTCC